TTATCATCCATTAATTATCTTAAATTTACAATTAAAAACGTACGTTCAGTTGCTTAGATGTGAATGAATTAAAAAAAAAAAAGAGGAAAAGAAAAACACACAAAAAAAAAAAAACAAAACAAAACAAAACAAAACAAAAAAGAAAAAAAAAAGGAAGAGGATAACAAAAAATTATTCGTACGTTTCACATCTTTTCCTATTTTCTTCGTTTCGCATCTGTCATTTTTCAAATTTTTATCATCGAGGAAAATATTTATATATTATATCATGATATGTTAACGTGTAAATGATTATGAAAGTGGTTAAAATAAGAAAAAAAAAAAAAAAAAAGAGAAAAGAAGAAAAAGAAAAGAAGAAAAATAAACAAATAAAAAACATGTTTTTATTTTATAAAAAAAAAAAAAAAAAAAGAAAAAAAAAAGAAAAGAAAAAAGGAAATAAAGAACGCAAAATATTCTTATTACTTTTCATAATTACTAACTCGTAATGTCCAATGTTCAATATTAAATTGTGATTAGGATTAATTTAATGGGAAAGATGTATCAGATAAATGAATAACTCAAGTATTCTAATCGCGTTCCAAGTGACAGTGATACTTGACCCGTACGATACTTCATCGCATTACGATCGGACTTACGCAATTCAATGCTTTATTCTCCAACAAGCCGCAGGAATGAGACCATATGCAATTGGAGAAATGTCTATCACGTTGCATTTCAGATCTCGATAATGATTCTGAATTAATTCTAACTCGAACAGATGAAAAATATCGATTAGCGATTTACGTAGAACGAACACGTAATATCAGATTATTATTTTATTGCAATTATGTGAAAACAGGAAGAATTGTTTCTTTTCTCTTTTTATTTGTTTTGTTTGTCTTTCTCTTTCTTTCTTTCTTTCTTTCTTTTGTTTCTTCTTTTCTTTTTCTTTTTCTTTTTCTTTTTTTTTTTTTTCTTTTTTTTCTTTTAACGCGATCGACTCTATTCACCAATCAATTTGAAAGTTTCAAATCGATCTGATCTGTCTCATTGCGTTATCGGAGAAATCTCGTCGAATTATATGAAACGGAAGGAGATATTTAAATCTATTTCGCTTTAAATAATATTCACTGTGGTATGTTAATTACAGATAAAACCAGCTGCAACGTAATAAAAAGAAAAAAGAAAAAAGAAAAAAAGAAAAAAATAAATGAATGATAATTATCGTTTCAATAGAATTTACATATACGCGTCTGTTATGTATATACGTAGAATCTTTTATTAAGGAAATCAATATCTACGTTCGAATATTTATCTGCATAAACTAGAATTTTCGTCGATCGAAAACTAGTTCAATATATATATACATATATATATATATATATATATATATATATATATATATATATGTCGAACTAATAATGTATTAACTTTCTACAAGATAATTCCGAGCACAGTATCTTTATCGTAATCGATTTATACCTTTTTCTTTCTTTTCTCTCTCTCTCTCTCTCTCTCCCTCTCTCTCTCTTTCTTTTTTTTTCTTTTTTCTTCTTTCTTCTTTTTACATCTTACGCTTGATCGCGCCCACGCAAATATTTCGTGCTTTCGTACGATTTATTTATGTAATATTCACGATCGAATTTATGATTTTCCTTTGTTTTTAAAAAAAAAGTCAATTAAAAGAGCAAATAGAGCGTATATAATTATTTGAGTCAAAAAAGAAAAAAAAAAAAAAACAAAAAACAAAAAATGGGAAAAACAAAAATTAAATAATACGAGTCACGTATAAAATTTTCTATCGATCATTTGAAATATTATCGATAAATTTCATCTATCACTTTTATTATAATCATCTATCATCAAATTAATATTGTATCAAATTAATTTTCATCTATCTCTTTCGTTGTATAATCATATCAACATCGTATTAAAACTTCTACTAAATAATTTTCATTCATTCATAATATATTAATACTAAATAATTTTCATCCAATTTATTATAATCATTTAATTTCTAATCAAAACTATATCGAATAATTAAGATCTATTCTTTCATTATAATTTATAATCGTATCAAATAATTTTTATCCATTCTATTATCCCAATTATCTACTTTATAGATATACATTAAATCTATTATCTTAATAAGATATATATATATATATATCTTATTCTTATTTTTTATCTAAATGCAATAGATAAACGTGGACTTACCGAATGGTAGCAAAATTAAATTCGAAGAGAAGAGTGACAAATGTGAGAACGATTTTTCTTTCTTGACGGATGCACGAAATTGAAAAATTTGGAATGAAAGAATGAAAAGAAGAAGAAAGAAAGAAAGAAAGAAAGAAATGAAATAAAGTGAAGAGAAAAGGAATCATGTCGGAACGATCGAATTCCATGTGACATTCGAAGTAGAACCAAAAAGTCGATGTCCTTTCCAAGCGTTACGAACGTAACTTCGATATCTTTCACGATCGATCCTTTTATATATATATATACTATATAACATACAACGAATAAGTCGACTTGAAGATATCCGATACAGACACGTTTGTTTCTTTCTCGTTCTTTTTTCTCTTTGTCGAGCTGATTTTTATACGCAGTCCCCTCTCACTTTCACTCGATCGAGTCTCGAGCCACCAACCAACCACTATTCTTAACAATCAACTTCAACCATCACCTTTTATAATGTTTCAAATGCAAACAGGGCAGGGCCAATGGAAATTTTTAATTTCGATCATCTCGATCAAATTAGAAATGAAAAAGATCATAATTCATATTAACACCTATCGTCGTAATCATTAAAAATTTCAATCATTTCATATATAATTTTTCAACGAAAACTCAATCAATCGTCTGTTAAATATATCGATCATCCTAATGTTATCGAAAAAAATCGTGATAATTGTAACATCGATTATGAAAATCATTAAAAGTGTCGATCGTTTCATTTGTAATTTTTCAATGAAAACTCGATCGAAACGATCGATCGATCAATCCATAAATAAAAATATCGTGACCATTTTATAACTAATCGTCAAAATCGTTAAAAAATTTCGATCATTTTTTATATAATTTTTCTTAGAAAATTCAATCGGTTATCTTAAATATATCGATCAAAATGTAAAAGTGAAAATCATGATCATCGATCGTCAAAGTCACGGATAAATTATAGTAATTGCGAGAAATTATTTGGAAAGTAAGTAGTCTCCTATAAAAAAAAAATATATATACATATATATACTCTTTCATAAATTGATTGGATACATCAACGATTTCTCGTTACTTTATTTATAACGTTATTAACTTGGACCTTCTAAAGGAATTGGTTTACGTAAGAACGCATTAATTATTATACGAAAAATGATAAAAATATTTGACTCTTGACCTTTTCCAGTCCACGTACAGAGAAAGATTCTTATGTAACGAGTCATAACTTTTAGGTTGCACTTTCAATTCTACGCTAAGAACAGGTGTACAAAGAGGATATGAGCATTTTGATTAGGTTAACACGAGTCTAATTAATTGACGATTAGAACGATATCATTGAACTAAAAATTATTATCATGATCGTTATCATCATGATCGTGCAAATGTAATATATAATAATTAAAAAAAAAAAAAAATAATAATAATAATAACAACAAAAGAGAACTAAGAAAAATAAATAAGGATTCATTCGATCAAATGAGTTTCATGATTGGATTTGCATTCACTTTATCATCATCATCATCATCATCATCATCATTTGAATACAATATAGAATGAGTATTAGAAGGAATAACAAAAGAGAAGTTTAATAGAGTTAAATAGAGTCTAAGACGAATAGATAGAAAGTTGAAAAAATAATAACAATGAATTGAAACACGTGTTTTTCTAAACGCTAATATTAATGTTAGTGTTGAAGGATGAATGGAAGATGATAAAAATTAAGTTCCTTTTCAGTACCAATTACAATTAGATTGTAAATAAATTAGATTCTATTTATCATTATTATTATCATATAATATCTCATCATCATGATCATTTCAAATGTAATTTAAAAAAATATATATATATATTTATATATATATCTATATAGATCAGTCAAATCGGAAAGATTCATTCGATCAAATGAGTTTCGTCTCACATAAAGAATCTTTAACGAATCGTGAAATCAAGCACTTGTCCGAGTTTTGCATGCTTAGAAAGTGGTAACACGCTTTCCACGCAGCACATTGCCAAGCAAACCATAAATGGAGCTGGTAAAATGAATAATAGGCTATGTTTAACTGTCAAAAAAAGATTCATGTTAGATTTGAAATATGAACTTTTTCAATTGAACGTGACAATATTCTGATCGTTTCTCCATACAAATGTGTCTTTTCGTAGACTCGAATTAATTGATTTTTTTTTATCCTTTTTTTTTTGTTTTCTTTTTTTCTTTTTTCTTTTTTTCTTTTTTTAAATATTAAAATCGTCGATTTGTTCTTTTTAAGAATATTCGTATTGTTGTTACATTTACAATATTGATCGAAAGGAAACTGGAACGTGGAAGTTCAAATAGATACACTTTCGATTGAACGAGACAATATTTCCATCATTTTTTTTTTCTTTTCCTATACAAACGTATCTTCGTGTTTGTCTACTCAAATCAATTGATTTTTGTTTAACAAACAAATCGTTGATTTGTTTGCCTTCGTAAATATTCTTACTTACTTATATCAAACATTTTTATGATCCATCATAAATGATCCCTCACGCGAGACAAGTATGTTTTCTCTTCGCCTAAAACAAATGAATTCTAATGTATATTTGTGTGTATGTGTGTGTGTGTTTCTTTTTTTTATCTTTTTGCATTTAGCTTTCCAGTTTATTTCCATAAACGGAGAAAACGTTCGTTCATCGACATGTAAAAGGATCATGAATGAAGAGAAAAGTAGAGAAAAATAAAAAGGAAAGAGGAATAAAAGAGAGAGAGAGAGAGGGAGAGAGATAAAAAGATGTAGAAAGAGATGATAGAAAGTGGTGTTT